ATCAATCCACCCAGAGTTGCCTTGGAAGAAAAACCTGGAGGTCATCTTCTGAAAAAAAAAAAAAAAAAAATTGCCTTGGCTATTCTTGACCCTCTGCATTTCCAAATAAATTTTAGAGTCAACTTTTCAATTTCCACAAAGAAAAACCTGCTGGACTTTAGGTATTTTTTTGCTAAATTTGCATATTTAGTCTAATGCTTTATAAATACTTTTAAATTTTCTATACAAACAAACTTCTTGTCTGCAAATACTGCCAATTGCATTTTTTTTTTTTTAATGACAATACCCTGGTGATAAATTCTCATGGTTTTTGTTTGTTTGAAAGTATCTGTATTTAGTCTTAATTTTTTAAAACACTTTTTTTTTTCTTTTTGCTGAGGATAGAAATCCAGACTGACAGTAACTTTGTTTTAGCATTTTAAAGATACCATTTCATTGTTTTCTGACTTTTATTGTTTCTGTTGAGAATTCAGCTATCAGTCTTATTGCTCCTTACTGCAGTTTGTTTTGTTTTTTTCTGGCTGTTTTAAATATTTGCTGTCTGACTTTGCAATAGTTTTACTTATGATGCTCTCAGATCTGAGTTTTCTGGTTATCCTTCTGGGTTCTTATGTTGCTTCTTGAATCTGAGACTTGATTGCTTCTTTTCAGTTGGAAAATTCTTAGCCATTCTTCTTTCAAACAGTGCCTCTGCTGTATTTACTATCTTCTTCTAGAACATCAAATCATGTCCCACATGTCTCCTTTCCTCTTTTCTATATGTTGCCACTTTTTTTCTACTCCTGTTTCATTCTTAATATTTTCTTCTGAACCATTCACTAATTCTCTCTTAAGCTTTTAAGCTTTGTCTCTGAAACTGAATGTATTTTTAAGCCATTCAATCATCTGAATCTAATGAGGATTTGAGATAAATCTAAATGGGATTTATGCTTGTGAGGGCTGCTTCACAATGATTTCTGTGATGTAGCCCATTAGAGTTCCAACTAAAAGCCTAGAGCTCCTCCTCCTTGACGAGACCCATTCTTCAATTTTTTGTCCCTCAACCCCATAACCTAGTGACAGCTCTGTCCAGCATTTATTTTATAATAAATGATACTGAAATTGAGTATACTTTTTAAAATAAGTTGTACAGTTTTTCATTTTATAGTGATCTAACCTAGCCTAGGGTGTTGGGGGATGGA